TAAAAAAAAAAAAAAAAAAAAAAAAAAAAAAAGGTAGAAAAATTAAATTATGATCAATACTGAATAAAATATGAGTTTGAAATTATTTTAAAAAAAAAAAAAAAATTCATAGCACTATTTAAATATATTAGTTTTTTTTTTTTTTTAATATATATAATTGAAAGTAAATAATACATATATATATATATATATATATATATATATATATATATATATATATAAATTAAATTTTAGAATATTCAAGTAAACATTCAAATATATTTTAATAAAATATATTATTTTTTTTTAATTATTTTTAAAATTAATATTTATTAAAAAGTGTTACAAAGATATATAATTTGTAAAAAAAATAAAATTTCCAAACTTCAATTTCATAAGTGTAATTCAAAAAAAAAATTTTAACCATTTAATTTATTATTATTTTTTTTTTTTTTAAATTTATACTGTGTTATTAAGATTTTGTTCTGGTAATTTCATCTGTCTTTAATCAGAACTATACGAATTCCTTTGTGTAAGGAAAAAAAAAAAAAAACTATAATTTTAAATAATATTTATAATTTTGTCCTTCTTAAAAATGTAATATGATTAGAAAATACACTTTATAAGGTTGTCATAACTTCAAGTAAAAAAAAAAAAAAAGATTAAAATAAATATTAAAAAAAAATAAAGATCAAAAAAAAAAAAAAAAAAAAAAGGAAAGAAAAGAAAAGAGAAAAATGGATTAGGAAAATGATTAAAAAAATAAAAAGAAAAAACTAAAAAAAAGAAAAAAAGGATGTAAAAATCTAAACATGAATTATTAAAAAAATAATTATTTGTGTTTTATATGTGCGCATGTAAGTGTGATACAAAAGTGTATTTTTTTTTTTTTTTTTATATGTGTGCAGGTGCAATCGAAAAAAAATGAAAATTTCAAGGAATACAAAAAAAAATCATTTTAATTGTAATCTATTTAATTATTCTTTATTAGCTTCTCTTTTTTTTTCTTTTATATATATATATATATATATATTTTTTTTTTATTATATATAATAGGTTTCTCAATTCTTACAAAAATTAATATAATTATATATAATAAAATCATATTAAATATTAAAGAATAAGTATTTAGTTAAATTAATAAAATAAAGGAAAAGTTGATAGTTAGAAGTATTATTCTTTATAAAAGATTCTTTATATCTGTTAAAATTTTTTAAAACGTTTCAAAATGTTACATTTTAGGATTATAAACTTTTAATATTTTTCCCTAATAATTCCACTGTTTATTGCACACAAAAAATTCGTAGTAATTACTACCAAATTTTTTTTACTGTAAATTTATTCATTTATACTAAGATACAAATAATATTTGAAAAAAAAAATTTTTTTTTTTTTTTTCAAGTTTATAAAATAGTAAATAATCTCTATGGAAATTTATAATTTTTGATTTTTTTTTTTTTTTTTTTTAATTAACACATATGCAAAATAAATTAACAATAAGAAATGAAAAAAAAATATGTAGAAAAAATTAAATAATGTATAAAAAACTGTAAGTATATAAAAACATGTATAAGTGGATAAATGTAGAAATAAAGATGTAGAATATAAATGAAAGTTCTTTTTTTTGAAATTATGAAACAGAAAACAACAATAAAAAAAAAATATATAACATACTTATTTTGATAAGATATATAAAAACGTAAGTTGCAAAAATGTTTCAACATATAGTATGAAAACTTTTATTATATTAGTTTTTAAATGAAAAATGCAATAATAATTTTAAGTATCTAAATATTAAATAAGTTAATGTATATATGTTTTTTGTTTTTTTTTTTTTTTTTTTTTTTTGTTATAATAAAATTTTAATGTAATATTATGATGAGTTCAATCTTAATTATTGTATGCTTTTGTTAATAATTTATGCTTTAATAAGGATTAAAATGTTTTTTTTAAAGAATAGATGTTTATTTATGTTCAGTGAGTTTATTAATAAAACATACTTAAGTTGTAATATTATTAAATCGAATAAAATAAAGATTAAGTATTTTACTTCTTTAAAAAGTATTTATGATTATGATTCATCGCATGAAAATGTAGATTTTAATAATAAATTGAAGAACACAAATGAGTGTAATACTTCCTTTTTAGCTTATAATAGTAAACTTAATAATGAAAGTCTAAAAAGTACTATTTTTATCGATAATATGGAGGATTTGAAAAATTATTTTGAGAAACATTTTAATGAAATGAAAAATTATGATTATATACATTTTTTATTTAAAATATATGAAATAATATTTTATAACTTTTATAAAAATTACGAGCATTCAGAAAATTTTAAACTTAATAATCCACATTTTGTTTATTTATCTTTTATACAATATTTAGATAATTGTTTAAAAAAAAACAATAGTGTTGAATCAACTAAGATGTGCTATGAAAATAATGAAGTAATACTTCGTAAAAATTGTAATAATGAGAATATAAGTAATTATATAGAAGAGAAAGAAAGAAATAATGAAAAAAATAATATAAAAAATAACATAGATAAAAATTATTCAAGCAATTATACTATGAATAATAGACCATTATTCAATGAACCTTCAAGTAATTATAATACTTTAGAAAAAATGAATATAAAGATTACTAATGATGAAAGCAAAAATACAGAATCATTTAATAGTGATTATTACATTTATAATAATAACAAAACTAATTATATTAGAAATTCTCATTTAGAAGAAAATTCCTGTGATAAAAATAATTATATGAACAAAATAAACTTAAATACATTGATGAAAATATATTGTAATTATGTAATATATTTAGAAAATGTTAATATAAAAAAAGAAAGTTGGAATGAATATATATCTTCATTTTTAACTAAAAGACATATGGAATTTTACACAGAGTTATTGAATACAATATATAAAAAATTATTTTTCTTTTCATGTAATGACATAATTAATTTTTTATATATCTTAAAAAGAATTAATATATCATCAATGAAAGATATATATATTTTAGTAGAAAATACAATTTTACAAAACTTGAAATTCCTTGATGAAGAATACTTAATTAGGGTAGGATATATTTATTTAAATAATTCTAATAAAAAAAAAAACATAAATTATATTAATAGATATAATAGTAAAAATTTTATAGAAACATATATAAATTTTGTTCAAAGTAAAATTAAATCAATGGATAATCAAAATTTTATAAAACTGTTAGAATTTATCAGTAATAATAATTATAAGCATATTCATTTCTATAGAGAATGTAAAAATGAAGTATATAAAAGGTATAATAATTTTACTGATGAACAAATAATGAAACTATTTTACCTTTATTCTCAAAATATTAATGCATCAGATAAAATTTTGATGCATAATTTCTTAAATTCCATAGTAGATATGTTTTCAGATAATCTCATAGAACAAAAAAATATAGTTAAAATACAGATAAATAAATTAAATAAAATAGATGATGAAAATGAATCACATAAAATAAATAAATTAAATGAAAAAATTGAACCAAATAAAAATGAATTGAAAAAAGAAAGTAAAGAATTAAACATTCCCATATATGTTATATTAAATGGGATATGGGCAAATGCAAAATATTTTAAAGATTATCCCTTTTTATTAAAAAAATGTGAAATGATAATTCTGAAAAATTTTAAAAATTTTGGTAGTTCAACTATTAGCATGCTTATATGGGCATATAGTACAGTTGAAAATAAAAATAATGATTTATGTTTTAATAATAATTTATATTTAAAGTTAAAAGAAAGAGCTTTAATGCTTTACAAGTTTATGACTCCAAAACAATTATCCAATAGTTTATTAGGATTATCAACAACTCTTGGAAGAACAATTAATAATGAAGGAGATGTAAATATTGACTATCATGAAGAAATAGAAAAATATTTGTTAGAAAAAGAAAAAGGAATAATTGAAAAAGAGAAAGATATAGAAAAGGAAAATAAAAAAAATTATAAAAATTTTACTTTTTTGAACTTTTTCACATCTGAAGATCTAGCAAATATGTGTTACTCTTATTCATTAGTTAGATGTGGTAGTAAAGAACTTCATACTTTGTTACAGTCAGCCTTATTAAATAAATTGAATGATTTGTCTCCTCAAAATATTTCAAAAATTGCATATGCATATGGAAATTTATATTTCTTTTCCTCATATACACTTCTTAGTTCATTACAATATGAAATTTTACAAAGAATACATCAATTTTCTCACTATGAGATCTGTGATATTTTATGGTGTTATTGTATTAACAAATTTTTCGATGCAAATTTCTGGAAATGCATGTTACATGTAATTAATATTGAAAAAATTAATGATCCTCGTTGTTCTTTATTATATTCTTCTCTTTCTTATGTAAATTTAATTAATTCTTCTATTCTCGATTCATATAATGTATTAAGAATTTTTAACTTTTTAAGAGAGTATTATTGGGATTTTCAAATAACGGAATATCCACATAATTTTGCAAATGATGTTATAGAAACTTTAGAAAATGAAAATGATTTAATTCTATCCAAAAAAGACCAATTAAATGCTTCTTCAGAAAAAAACATGTTTCATTATATTCAAAAATTATTTGACTACGAAGGTTTTTTAATTGATATATATTTTGAATACAAAAATCAAAAATACGCTATATTTTTATATACATCTCTTAATACAACTTCAGATGGATCTCCAGTTGGAGAAAATATCTTAAAAACGAGATTTATTAAAAAAAAAAAATTTAAACCAATTCATTTACTTTTTAACATATGGAAAAATTATAATCAAAATAAAATTAATTTAATATATTCCCAATTATAAAAAAAATATACATATATATTTAAACTTTGACTCTGTTTTCACTAAAGTTATCTTACTTGTATATATATATATATATATATATATATATATATATATATATATATATATATATATATATATATATATACATATTAATAAAAAAAGTAAAATAAAATGAAACAATTAGTTTTTTTGAAAAACATAAATTTAATGTACATTTAAATGCATTACATTTTAATATATGCAATTTTTTTTTTATATTTTAAGACATATAATTTACATATTTACTCTTCAAAAAGTTTTTATTTTTTTATTTATTTTTTTTTTTTTTTGTTATTCCATTATAAATATGAATAAATATTATTTAAAAGTATTTAAAACATAATGTATTTATTAAAAATTAAAATATAGTAATTATAAATGAATTTTTTTTTTTTTTTATTCTTTTTAAATTAAATATTTTCAAATTTTGTTTTATTTTATTTAATATTTTATTTTATTTTATTTTTTTATTTTATTTTACTTTATTTTTTTATGTACAACTATAATTGTAAAACCATTTATGATTTAAAATTTCTACAATAATTGGTCTTTTATTTGGATCAATATTTAGCATTAAAGAAATTAAATTTTTCAAATCATCTGATACATCATTAGCATATTTCAAAGTGCTGCTTTCAAAATATTTTAATCCTTTTTCAAAATTTTGAAAAGGTGCAAATCCTTGAGTCATTATAAATAACAAAATGCCTAAACTCCAAATGTCTAACTTGAAAACAGAATAATTAATAGTTTGATTAAAAATAATTTCAGGAGCAATATATGCTTTTGTTCCTGCTTCTGTTTTTATATTTTGATCTACATTGACAAAATCTGATAATCCAAAATCAGCAATTTTACAAGTCATATTTTCATCTAATAAAATATTTTCTAATTTTAAATCTCTATGAACAATATGTTTTGAATGACAATAATACACTCCTTTAACAATTTGAAGAAATAAATCATGAGCCTCTTTTTCTGATAAATATCCATTATTTTTTAAAATGTAATTTTTTAAATCCCCATTAACTGCATATTCCATTATTAAACATACATAATTTTGAAAATGATTAACATCATACATCTTAATTATATTATTATGAATTAACCCTCTTAATGTTTGAATCTCAATAAAAACTCTATGAACATCTGTTACATCTAAAAAATTACTTTTTGGTATAAATTTTAAAGCAACCTTTTGTTTTGTTTGAGTATGAATACCTTGAAATACTATACCAAAACCACCTGAACCAATCCTTTTTTCAACTATATAATCATTTACAATTAAAATATTTTTCATTTTATAAAGAAAATGATATTTGTCTTTTTTTTCCTTTAAATACAGAGTATCACCATCTATAATATCTCTAATTGATTGTATTATATTACCACAACTATCCGTAACATATTCTCCATGAGCCCCATATTTTTCTCTACCTAATTGTAATATATCATAAATGTTATTATCATAACTGATGTCTATTTTTATAACATCATTATTACCATTTTTATTCAAACATAAATATACTTGCTTATATTCTCCCTTACATAAAAAATTATCTTCAATATTTTGAACACTGCCTAAATACATTTTTTTTTTTTTTTTAAATAGGAATATTTTTTATTATAAAAAAAAATTTTATTATTCTTCCCTTATCTGAAAATTTTTTTTTTCTAAATTTTCCTCTTTACACTTTTTTTTCTTTTTTTTTTTTTTTTCAAATTATTTTTATCTACAACATAAATATATTTTTAACTTTTTACCTTTATTATTATTATTATACTTATTTCCTAAAAATCTCATAGTTTTTTTAATGTGTCTATTCTTTTTAAATTATATTTATTAAACATTTAATATTTTCATTTACACATAAAAAAGTGAATCAGTTGATTTATAATTTTATTTTTTTTTTTTCATTTCTATTAAATTATATTTATTAAAAATTTTTAGTAAATTTTTTAAAAAAAATCAAGTTACAAAAATTTATTATAAAGAAGAAAAAAAAAAAAATAAGAAAGAAAAAATAAAATGTATCATTTCTTTTTATTTTAATACAAGAAGATACAAAATTATAATAATTTTTTAAATAAATAATTTATAATGCATTATTATTATTTATTTTCATATTTTTAATATTTAAAAAAAACTAAAAAATTGATTTATTACATTTATCTAAATATTATTTTTATACGAATAAAATAAAGAAAATATATTTATTTTTATTTTTTAATTTGTCTATAAGTTATAAATGACATTATTTTTTTTTTTTTTTAAAAACTGATTCATTTATTTGAATAAAGATAATATGGATAATGATAATATAACATTTTAAAAATCAAATAAAATTAGATATATCAGTCATGTAACAAAAAAATAAAAAAAATCTAAATTAAAAAAAGTAATAAAAAATATAATAATTTTGAATTTTATGGGGGTACAACACAAGAGTGAGGCATAACATAAAAATTAATTTTTAAATGCAAATAAAAAATGAAAAATTGTATTATGGAAATCAAAAAACTACTAAAACAATTAATAGTTAAAACAGATAATATAAAAAAAAATAAACTTAAAGATGTATACATATCAAATAAATAATTTTTCAATTTAGATAATTTTGACATAATAACCAAAATATGAGATAATCCTGTAAATATGAATATATAATTTTGCCATAGATTAATATCACCAGTGGTAATAAAATTTATATTATCTAATAAAAAAAAAAAAAATATATATATATATATATATATATAATATATATATAATATATTGTGTATATATATATATAATATATTGTATATATATTTTATATATAATATATTGTATATATAATATATTTTATATATAATATATTGTATATATATATAGTAAAATACAAGTTAATATATATTATAAAAAAAGTAATGAATACAACTTATTTAAAATAAAAAAAAATTACCTTTAAAAAATATCATTACAAAAATTTGAAGAAGAATTAAAATATATAGAATGGTATAATAAACTTTTACTCTTAAAGGGTATATATCTTTAGATTCAGAAGCATATGTAATAAGTGGTTCTTCATTAAATCTATTACTATGAATATCATTATCATTTAACAAATTTTCATTTTTATTTATATTTTTTATTGAACATATTGGAAATCCTATTTTTATATTTTTGCTTGGGTAAATAACACATGTAGGAATTTCTTTTTTATTCTCTTCACTTGAATTACAAAAAACATAACTCAATGCATTTTCATAATATAAAATTGGTTCATCTTTTAAATCATTTAAATTTAAAGTTCCTGCCATTTTATTATATATATTTATTTAATTTTTCTACATAATCATATAATGTATTAAAAATATATATAAAGAAATATGTGATTTTACATAGTATACTTCATTTACATAAAAAAAAAAAAAAAAAAAATTTTCTTTTTCTTTTGAAAACACTACATCTATATTTCCTATAATAAATGTTCCAGCAAATATATATTTGCTTTTTTTTTAATTGTTTTTTTTTCTTCTATAGATTTTTTAAATATATTTTTGCAATTAGCAACGGTGATAACAACAAAAAAAAAAAAAAAAAAAAAAAATTAAGTTATAACCTTTGTTTTAAAAATTTATTTTTAAACCTAAATTATATGTCAACGTGTAGTAAGCCTTTTATTTATAGAGTTATATTTAAAAAAAAAAAAAAAATAAAAATGAAAATTAATATAAAAATTAATAATTATATTTTATAACAGATTAAAATTAGCTACTTTATTGCTTAACTTTTTTTTGAAAAAAAATAAAAAATTTCATATCGCATTTTTTTTTTTAAGTATTAATAAAAGCACATTTTTTTAAGATATAATAAAAAAAAAATTATTTTAATAGTAATAGAGAATAAAAAAAAAAAAATCTCAATTGTTTCTTTTTTAAAAAATAAAAATGTTTTATCTTTATATATATAATTTAATTTTAATTTTCTTTAATTATTTTTAAATGAACTTCTATTTTTTTTACATTTTTATTTTTTTTTTTTTTTAATGTACTATTAAAAACTAAAAAACTTTTTGCAATTTTTTTTTTTACCAAATACAAAAAAAATGGTCCTTTAGGAATATTTATTATTACTCTTAAATATTTTAAGAAAATTCCTAAAATTATTCATAAAGCTTAAAGTTACTTTTAATGCATTTAACATTTTTACATACTTTATTATTTATTATTTTAATAGTAACTTTTGAATAATATATAAAATTTTGAATAATGACATATATATTCCTTTTTTTATATGTGAAAAATAAATTATTATAAAATAAATTTGAAATATTTTTAAATGAAACTATAAAAAAAAGGCTTTCAAAAATAAAAGAAAAAAAAAAACTTTAATTAAAGATTGTTTCTTATTATCAACAATAAATTTTATTATTCCATAAACTACAAAAAAATAAGAAAATATCTTTTTATGTTTTATTAGATATTATCCTTCTTAAAAACACATTACTTTTTTTAAAGCACCTAAAATTAGTAACATAACATTTCTTAATATAAAATATTTTGATAAAAATTAAAATATAGTTCTTTAAAAATAATTAAACGTATATGTTTATTTTAATTATTCTTTTTTAAATATAAAATATATTTAATATTATAATGTTATTTTGATTAAGGTTCCGTTTTTTTTTTTTATAGTATTTTACATATTTTAAGAAATATAGGTAAACAAAAAAAAAAAAAAAAAAAAAAAGTAAAAATAAAATATATAAATATCATGTAATGAATTTAAGACTAAAATAAAAATTAAGTTTTTAATATAAATCTTAATTTGTGTTTTTGACAATATTGATGAAATACATTTAAAAATATTAAATATATATCCACATAATGAAGTATAATAAAATATAAAAGCTATATATATATATATTATCTCAAATCGTTATTTTTATATGATGATATTTGTTTTTCTATATATATTATTTTACAAACAATTTTTTATTAATATAGTTAAAAAGAAAATAATGAAGATATGCTTCATTCTCAAGTACATTTAATATAAATATAAATTTATTTTGATTTAAAATATATATAAAAATATCAGATAATATTGTATTAAGTTATATATATTATAATAACATTTAATTTTACCTTCCTATTTCATATAATTAGTTTTATGAATTAATTTTAAGAAGGTAATTTATTTTATATAGGTATTAAATATCATTTATTAAACAAAATGGGCATTGATTTAAATCTTCATGAATAAAAACATCACAATCAATACAAAAAATATTTTTACATTTGGTACATTGTGATACTTTATCATCAAGTTGTTGATTACATGAAACACATAAATTATATTGTTTATTCTCATTAGTTATTTCAGTAAATAATGGTGATCCTTGAAGGTTATTAGTAATGTGAGAGAGATCATGCATAGAAATTAAATGAATACCACAAACTTTACATTTTGATGGTATTTTACATGTATAACTATTACAAAAATTACATATATAGGTATCTGTATTTAAATTATTATGACAAGAGCACATTATTTGTGTATTAATTTTTTTTTTTATTGGAAAACATATGTGAATTAATTGAGGTTCCATACCATTCATCCATAAAGGAGTTTCAGCACAATTATTTATTTCATTTATTAAAGAATTTTTATCTGTGCATATTTTATATATTCCATTTGTTTTTTCACATATGTGCTTTAAAATATGCATTTCTGGTGCTATTGAAATACAATTTACATAAATATTGCTTTTAATTAATAATTCTAATATTTTTAAAATATTTTTTTTATCACATGTTCTTATAGAACCATACATTATCAATATTTCTTTAGTCCCATATAATGGCATATCAATTAATAAATCATGAGCTATTTCTAATCCTTCTTGTAAAGATGGGGAACCTTGTAAACCTAAACTCCTTTCTTTTAATAATGAATTTAAAATGTCATCAATACTTGAAGTCAGAGGTTGAATTAACTTTGCTGAACTATTTTTTAGAGCAACTATGCCAATATGACCAACTGGGTTTTTGAAAAAAAAGTTTTTTAAAAATGTCTAAATATATATATATATATATATACCAAAAAAAAAAAAAAAAAAAAAAAAAAAAAATTATTTATATAAATTTATATACTTTAAAAATGTTTTTGTTATTTATTTTTATTACTTCCACACATTCTAAGACAACATTAATTCTATCTGGTTTAAAATCCCTTTCCTTCATACTACTAGATAAGTCAAATAATATGATTATATGCCTGTTAATATTTAAAAAAGGAAAGAATTAAAACAAATAGAATAAATACCTTAAAATAATTATATTCCATTAAACACCTGAATATTCCTTTCCTTAAGGAACATATTTGATTCTTTTTATATTTTTGTTTATTTTTATTTTCGAATTTTTCTTGACTAACATGTTGTAATACTCCATTGTTTTCAACAAGTAAGTTCCATGATCTTTCAACATCTGTAAAATACAATGTGTATATAAACAATTTTTGTAATTTAAAAAGATGTAAATATACAAGATATATAATACAATTTAAATAATAAATGCTCGTAGTTTTTGTAATAAAAAAAAAAAATTTAAAATAAAAAAACTAAGTTATGCACATACATATATTTATAATAAATTTTCATAATTATAAAACCTAAATATACAAATAAAATTATAACTGTAAATTTCAAAATTTGAATTTTATAACTCTTATTTATTCAATTAATGAACCTTGTTCCCACGTAAATTTTCCAGTTATTTCTTCAAAAACTTCATTTTCATCAAAATCTCTCACAACATCTTCAACTAAAATAGGCTATAAGAATATTAATATATATAAAAAAAAAAAAAAAAAAAAAAAATTAATAATATTATTTAATATAATGAATTCATATAAATCTTTTTACAAACTTTATTTTCAATATTTTGAGGATTTTGCATTATGAATTAAAATTCTAAGAAAATCATTTTAACTTTAATGAAAAATTTTTTATAGTTTTAATAATATTCTATTCCATAATATTAACTTTTAATATATTTTATTTTCATTAAATTTTTATTAAACCCTTTTTAAATTGATTAAAAAAAGTATATAATTAAATATAATAATATGACACTATTTAATTAAAAAATATTGATTCTTTTTATATTTCCGTAGTATAAATTTTTTTTCATATTTTTCTTTTTATATTTTCAAATAAATACATATTTAAGCTATAGTTATTATAAGCACTTTTTTTTTTTTTTTTTTTAAAAGGCTACTACATGCATATAAAATAATGTATTTCTAATAAATTTGTACAAAAAAAAAAAAAGAAAATTTCTGATAACTTATTTATTAACATGTCTGCTATCTTTTTACAATAGTTTTTTTCTTTTAAAATAAAAAAGAGAAAGTTTAAAAAAATGAAAAGGATATTTCATTTTTGCTGTTCATTAGAAATACGTATCATAATTTAAAAAAAAGCTATAATATCTATAATTTTGACATTTTCAACATTTTTTTTTTTTTTTTTTTCTTCTAAACATATTATAGATAAAGAAATAATTAGATATCAAATTTTAAAAGAAAAATGTAATAATGTAAAATTAATTTATAGTTAAAATTATTCAACTTAAACTTATTTATATTTATAGATCTATAATAGGTTTGTTAGAATTTGAAAGTTATAAGTAAAATCCTATATGAAAATAAATTTTGTTCTTTAACTGTAAGTTTAATTTTTATAACCTTATCAAATATTATTCAATAGAATGCTTCTCATTCATCTAATAATAATAAGGAAATAAATTAAAAGAAATTATCTCATAAATAGAAAATATTCATAAAAAGTTTAATAAAAGAACAAATATATAGTATGTCATATTTATGAATAATATAAGAAAATAAAAGATTTTTTTTTTTTAAAATTGTAGAACTTTAGGATATTCAATGTTTAATTATGTATAAATATTTTGTATTTATTTTTAAAAATTATAGAAGAAAAAAAGACTATTAAAAGCATATAAAAAAATACAATTCTATAATGCAGTAAATTTCCAAATGATGTACTTATTAAAATAAATTAGAAATTAATGAATTAATGAATTAATGAATAATATCTTTCTTTTTTTTTAAATAATTTATAATAGATAAAACTAAATAGGCTTATGTTTAAAAGAAAAATTAGCATAAGATATAAGAAAATTTATTGGATTAATTTTGATAATATACATTAATTAAAGCAAAATTACGTCTATTAATAAAAAGAAAAACTAAATCATATTAATAACTTTTTCTTATTGATCTAATTTTTATTTTTTATTTTATTTTTTTTTTTTATATATATATACTGAAAACCTTTTTAATAAGTAAAAATAAAAGTTGTAATTGATAAAAATAAAATATACTTACATTAATGCTATTTTTATTAGTGCCTTATTTAATTTTATAACATGCTTTATAAAGGTATTACCCCTTTTTTAGTTTAATTATCAAATTTTTTTTAAAATTTTTTTTTTTAATAAAGAATATATATATAAAAAGACAATATCCCTTTTAAATTTTTATTCTTTAAAAAGCTATAATTTTAAAAAGACATAATTTAATTGTTTTAGATTATAACAATATTTAAAAATAGTATAATTAATAATAATTTATTAGTTTTATATTATTTATTTTATTTTTTTTTTTTTTTTTTTTCCTTAAATTACATTTTTATTTTTTAAAATATATTTTAAAAAATTCTAAGATTTTAACTTTTGTTAGTCAAAATTGAAATATCTCTTCAAAAAAAAAAAAAAAATATCTATGATTAGATAAACATGGAAGAGTTATCTACAATATGTATGAATAAAAATAATAATGAAGAAAAAATAGTTTATATAAAAAGCATAGGAAATTTTTCCAAAAAAATAAAATTTGATGATGATTGCAGAATTAATGAAGTTCTAAAAAAAAATAATTTATTAAATGATAATGACACACATTTATATCAAATAAAAAATAAGCTCATTGATTTAGATAAAACATTCTCATATTATAATGTAAATGATGGAGATATTATTTACATTTTACCTTCACCTTCTCCTCTTCCTTACTTAATATATTTATTTCATCAAAAAACAGGGAGAGTTCATGTAAATTTAAAAGAAAAAAATAATTTTAAATTTAAATTATTAAATGTTTATAAACCTTTTTTATTTTTTGTTTTTGTTATAGTGTATTGAATTAAATCATGAAGATTCCGTTAATTCACTTCATAAGAAAGTTGAGAAAATATTAAAAATAAAAGAAGAAGATCAAATACTAATATACAGTGGAAAATGTTTACAAAATAAAAAGACTCTAAAAGAGGAAAAGTTAGCAAGAGAAAGTTTAGTTACAATCCTAAATAAAAAAGACATACCTGAAATAGATAATGAAAACTAAGAAAAAAAAAATTAGTATTTAAATTTATAATATAATTTTTTTTATTTAAATAAATTCCTATTTTTCTTTAAAAAAGTTTAAATATATACTTATAACACGTATATATATATGAACACATATACTCATATTTATTTTGCTATATTTTCTTAATTTTTTTTTTTTTTTTATCATAAAAAATATTCACTTTTCTATGTGTAGAAAAGAATAATATTAAAAATTTATTTTATTTTTATCTTCTATATTATTATATTTTATGTATATTAATCCATATAGAATATTAAAAATTTTAAAACTATTACTTTAATACTTTTTTTTTCAAATTTTTTTTTTAAATTCTTTTATGTTAAAATTATAAATCTAAAACATTTTCTTTTTCAAATTTAAATAATATATATAAGAAAATAATATAGAGATATAATCCATATTCAAAATAAAAAAAAAAAAAAAAAAGAAATTTATGCTATTTTAAAAAAAAAATTTCTTTTAATTTAGATATGTTTTTTTATTTAACCTCATAATTTTTTACACCTAGATTTTATTTGATTTTTTTTTTTTTTTTGTATTTTTGATTGATAAGAAAAAAAAAAAAATATATTTTTAAAAATCTATAGTTTCTATTAAACACTAGCACCAGAAAAAAATTTATATATTTAATAAAAAAATAAGAAATAAATAAATAAGAAAAAGAAAATAAATAAATCATAAGTAAAATATTAAAATATATATATATATGTGTTATAATATAGATGTATGTAATCATTATATTAAAAATAAAATGAAAAGTTATTTATTAGAAGAAGATAAATTGAAAGCAAGTATAAAAAAATGCTATTTTGAAAGAGATATAATTAAATCAAAAATAGTAAATTATTTAAATAGATTAACATACTTATCTTCTGGTAACTATTAATAGTATTTTAAATTATTATTTTTCTTTTCTTAAAATTCATATTTAAATAAAGATAGCAATACATTTTTATAACGAATTACACTTTAAATATATAGTTCATTAAATTTTATATTTATATATATAATTAAAATGTTTTTTTTAAAGATGAAAGAGATGATAATAAATATAAAACGAAGCAAAAAAGAATAGATTCAAGTGAATTTTTAGTAAACAAAAAAAAAAAAAAAAAAAATAAGGAAAATAAAAACAAATAGATAATAATAATTATTAAAAATTTTACTTATTTTAGTCTAACTTTAATGTTTATTCATCATTATTTTATTTTATTTTTATTATTTTTATTTTTTGTATATATAGGATAATTTGCCAGATTTTAAGATAGAAAAAAGGGTAAAAAAAAAAAAGCATAATATATATATATACATGAATATGTAGAAGAATACAAATAATAAAGCTAATAAATTACATAAATACCTTATTATTTTTAATGATTATTAGTATTTATTTTATGTTTTGTAAATATTATAGTTAATAAATTTTGTTGTACATATACATCTTTAAAATAAGTAAATGATTTTTTTTTTTTTTTTTTACAGCCAAAATTAGAGGAAGATGAATCAACATTAACCAGGAATAAAAGGTTATTACAAATAGGATTATTTGATCATTTAAAAAAAGCTAAAGATGCATTAGAACAAGAAAAGAATAATAAAACAGTAATACTACAGCATTTACAAAATAAAAGAGTTGAAGAAAAAATACTAGAAGAAAAGAAAAATTTTGAAAAAAGTGAATTAGAAGACATGGAGAAAAAGATAACTACTTATATTAAAGATTTAAAAAGAATTGAAAAAAATATAAAACATGATGAAGGAAAATTAATGAAACTAAATTTAATTAATCATTATGATAAAATGAAAAATTTTATTAGTACTAATACATATCCAACAATTTTTTGGTGCCCTTTAAAATTTAATGAGAAAACAAAAATCCTACAAAAAAATACAGAAAATTTTATTAAAAAAAAGATTAGTGCTATAAAATCAACAAATTATGAAGTAAATTTTAAGGAAGAAAATTGGTTAGAACAATTTTTAGAACTAAAAAAAAAAGTAGAAAAAAAAAATAAAACGTCTGATAATGAATTTAAAAATAATAATGAGAATGAAAAAGAAAAAAATGATATAAATGAAAATGAAAACAACAAAGAATGTAAAAATGAAAATAGTTTTACAGAAGAAGTAAAACAAAATATAGATGGTAATAGTAATAAAGAATATGAACTAAACAATGATAAAAAAGAAAAAAACAGTTTTGAGGATGAATATGTTACTAAAGTTATTGACAATGATTACTGCAACACGAACACTAAAGAAAACTCAAATGAAAAAGTAGGAAAAAATTTAAAAAAGAATTCACATGAAGAAATTAATAAAAGGGAAAAAGAAGACTCAAATGAAAATTTAAAAGAAAATCTTAAAAATACTGTAGAAGACAATTCAAATGAAGATTTGAAAGAGAATCTTAAAAATACTGTAGAAGACAATTCAAATGAAGATTTGAAAGAGAATCCTAAAAATACTGTAAAAGAAGATTCATATGAAGATGTGATAGAAAATATAGAAAAAAAAATATAATATAAAAGAAAACACAAAAATAAATATAGAGTAAAAGATAAAAAGATAAATTATGTATAAATAAAAATAATGATTAAAACTATAATGAGATTTTAGGAAGAATTTTATAAAATATTTAAGCAAATGCTAGAATGAATATTCTAATATGTATTTAAATAATTATGATAAAAGCAACATAAATGAAATGTATCGTTTAGATAAACATATATTTTTAGTAAAATTTTAAAATATACATAAGTATAACAATTAATAAAATAATGATGGTTATGTACTTTAGCAAAATATAGTAAATAAAATTTTTAAAATGCAACATTAAAAATATTATCTTATTTTTTTTTTTAAAATATAATTAAAAATTATATAAATTCCCTGATATCTTATTATTTCACTATATATATTATTTTTCTTTTTTTTTTTGTTTTTTCAATTTTATTAATATTTAGAAGATAATCTTATAAATTTATGTATGGTTTTTATCTAATTTTCTTTTCTTTTCTTTTCTTTTCTTTTCTTTTCTTTTTTTTTTTTTTTTTTTTGTATTTTTTTTTTTCAATTAAAAGGAAATGATAAAAAAGCAGACAAAAATAAAATTTTAGGAAATATATAATTAAAACATATATATATGTTCATACAAACTAATTTTTTTTAAAAACCCTAATTTATATAAAAAAAAAAAAAAAGAATAAAGAAGAATGAAAAAAATAATACGACACTAAATTTAAAATAGAAAAGTATTAATAAAATACAATAGTAATATTAATATATTAATAAATGAACGGACTAGATAAATATATATAATATAAATGAAATTCCATTAAAGCAATTTAATGTTTTTTTAAAATAATCAAATATATATTAAAATAATTAAAATATATATATTTATATATAAATTTATAATTCTTCTAATATCCACATTGTAATTTCTTCTAATGAATTTTTATTTTCCACATTTAAATTTTGTAAGAATGATTTTATACTTTCTTTTGAATACTTGACATCATTATTAAAAATTGATTTTAATTGGTCTATTAAATTAATATCTAAACAATCAGAAAAAACATTTCCATCTTTTATTAAACCATTAGTGACATTAAAAAATATTTCAACTTTTCCGAAACTGAATCGCTTACAAAGTCTATTTTGAAATTTTGGTGTTTTACCGTAACACCAATCCCAGTCTTTTAGTAGATTAAAAAATTTTAAAAATTGAGGATTTTTTGTAATGTTGGTATTTTTATCTATATAATGAATATTTAAATTATCTGAAACCATATTATTATTATTAATTAAATTACATAAGCCATCTTTATCAACTAATTCATCCTTTTCTTCATTCCTACTTTTATTATTTATTAGATTATTTTCATTAGTAAGTTGGTTCAATATATCATTTTCATTATTATTGTCCTTTTGATAAAATTTTATGAACTCTTTAATTAAAGCTACACATAAATTTTCACATGTAATATTAGAATTCACTTCTTTTAAATTTATTGTTCTAGCATTAACACTGGATACTCCATGTTTAATATATTTTATTTTATCAGGTGTTAGATATTTACTTAATACATTTTTTTCTAAATTTACCATTATAGTTCCATGATGTAAGAAAACATCTTTAATTTTTTTAAAAGCAGAACCTGAACATTTTAGATCATTTACGGTAATATCATTTCTTCCCTGTGCTTTTGCATTAATATTAAAATGATTTTTTAAAGTATTTAAAATAATAGCGAAATTATTTGATGTATTTATGGTACTATTTAAAAAAGTAAAACACAAATTCCCTAAATCATGATAAACTGCACCACCACCTGTAAATCTTCGGGCTACTAATACACCATCATCTTTTATATTATTTAAATCACATTCACTCCATATATTTTGATTTTTCCCTATTATAATAGATTTGTTATTTCTCCATAAAAATAAAACAGGTTCATTAAATTTTTCAATCGTATTTACATTTAAATACTTTAATAGATCATTATAATTGTTTAACAGAAAATTCTCTAATGATAAATTAAAATGAATATTTTGATTATTTGAAATTAAAATTATAGGACTGATATTTTTTCTTTCATTTGAATAACATCTTTTTAAATAACGAAATATTCCTTTCATTTCCAAGTTCTTTTAAAAAATCTAATAAAAAAAATATTATATTTATTATTTACTAGTAAGTACCTAAATTGTAATTTTTATAATTTTACTTTTTTTTTTTTTTTTTTTTTTTTTTTAAAATATTGTAGGATTTCTGCTATTTTCTCTTATTAAATAACAACACCAAAAATGTCATTTAAATTCTTTAAAAAATTAAAGAAGTTTTATTAAGTTCTTCATCATGTTTTAAATGAATTTAAAAAAAAAAAAAAAAATAAGATTAAAAAGATTTTTTACACATTATTTTTTATGACAAATATTTATGTATGTATGTTTATGTAAAATATATTTTTTTTTTTTTTTTATTTATGTTACTATCGTATGCATAAATACCTGATTTTTTAATAAGATACATAATTTTATATAAAAATAAAAAAAATATATTTAAAAAAAAATAATTATATTTTAAAATTTTTTTATATTATTAAAAATTACTTAAAATTATTTTTTTTTATATTTCTAATTTTTTTTTTAATATGTATTATTATATGATTAATTTTTATGTAAAATTACTTTTTTCAGAAAAAAAACCCAAATTTGTAAATTTTGAAGAAAATTTTGAATAATAAAAAGGAAATTGAGTGACATATTTTTATTAACTATATGGAATAAGATTATGTTACTTAGAGAATATTAAAACACTACTGTACATAATAGTGTTATTAATTTTAACGAAGAAAATATATATATATCTAAAATAAGTTTTAAAATTAAAAAATGAACTTTTTTAAACATAAAATTTTCATATTCTTTTTTTTGGTATTACAACTTCAAAAAATATACTGTACCCATTTTACTATAACAGCACATGAAAAAGATTGTTTTCATTTTAAGGCTGAAACAAATAACTTTATTGTTGGGTAAAGAAAAAGTAAAAAAGTTATTTTATTCTTTGTTTCATTTTTTTTTTTTTTTTTTTTTATATTTACAAGATCTTATGAAATAATTGATACAAACTCATCTTGTATAATAACTATTTTGAATAGACAAGATAAAAATAATGATTACCTATTTAAATCAAGAAACAGTCAAGATAAATTTGAGATTCAGGTAAAAAAAATAAAAAATGTATATATAATTTAATACATATATATATATATATATATATATGAACATATATATATTTTTTTTATTTTTTTATTCTTTTTTAACAAATTTTAAAATAAACGAAAAAAAAAAAAAGGCTAAAACAACTGGGATGCATTCTTTTTGTTATGAAAATAAAGGAAATTCTGACATAACAATTATGTTTACTCTAAGAGTAAAAGAAGTTCATGGTACAAATGAATCTGATTTAAGCACAGTTGATGACGTGCAAAAAATAAACGATGAAGCATATGAATTATATGAACAAGTAAGAAAAATACGTCATTTATATACTTTATAATTTAATTTTTGTATGCAAATGGTTAATTGAATCTTATATATATATATATATTCCTAAATTTTTAAATTTACAAATGTATTTAAATATGTATAATTCAATTCTTATTTCATAGTTTTTAGAAGTTTATGACGAACAAGAAAGAATGATGGAAAAAGCTGATTTATATAAACAATTTAACGAAAAAATTAATTCAAAATTAATTCTATGGTCAGAAATACAAATAATTTTACTAATTATACTAACATTAATTCATATATATTATATAAAATCCTTTTTTGAAATAAAAACAATCGTTTGAAATGTTTTCCTTTATATAAATGTGTAACTTTTAATAATAAAAATTGTAAAACTTTTTTTTTTTTTTTTAATCAAAAATATATTCATTATTTATAAGAAATTTGTTTTCGTTTTTTTTTTTTTTTTATTTTTTTTTTTTTATGAAAAAACTTTTTTAAAGCTTTTTTTTTAAATTCAATTTTTACAAAAAAAGAAAAAAAAAAAAAAAAA